ATAAAAAGCACCGTTTCTATTAAATTTGGCAGTAGACACACGCTCCCGCTGGGAGCCTATTTTTACTATTTTATGGTCATGTGCTGTACAGTAAGTAAATTTTCATTCTACCAAATCAGAAGTGTCGCAACTTCAGGCTAACATGAGAACACGTCCAGTCGCCGCAAATTCATTACCCTTCAGTTAGCCGTGGAGGACGGACGTACCTCTTCAGAGTGTTTTTAAGGGTATAGGTATCGTTGGTTATTTAATTTTTAGGATATATTAGGGATGTCATGTTATAGGCATATATAGGCCTATACTATGTGTGTGTGTATATCATATGTAAATAAATACACAGCTGTATCATTATTCCGTTTAGTCACCATGACCTATGCGTGGGTATGTTATGAGGATGCTGCCTTGTTCAGTCTTTGGTTTTGAGGCCTCACTTGGAAAGGGAAAGTAAGGTGTTTGTTTCCCTATTATTTTATTACTAGAAATTTTTTAAGTGTTGGACTGTCGGTCACACTTATATCGTTATTTTCATTATACTATAGTAATTTTCATTATATTATAGTTACTGTAGACCCAATAAAGGTCGAAATGTGGAATCATGTCCTTTTTCTCATTATTTGGAAAAACATTTGTTGTATGTTACCAGCCTGTATGTTACTGTACAGTAGTTAATATACTGTAATAATATAATAAAATCATTAATTTAACTAGTAGGTACTGTACGTAGTACACCATTGTACTGTAGGCCTATTGTTCTTGATTAATGTGCAGGCATCGTTTGTTTTTTTTTGGTCCGGTGTAGTACTGAATAATGGAGTGCAGTATATAAATGAACAAAATGATATCTATCAGATTTCAAAATGTGTCAATTTAAACTACAGTATCTTTTTTAACAGATTAATTATTTATTGTATGGAATCAAATGTCTGAATTTGTGTGCAAAAAAAAAATCATACAGAATTACTGAATTTAGAAAGGATGAATCTATTGTTTTTTTATTATGAATATGATACAGTTTAGTAAATTGAGTAACAATATGAAGGGACTAAGTTACAAGATTGCAAACACTATGAATTTAAACTTCATTATTCTACAGAAGCATCAAATATCTGTTTCAGAATTGTGTGTGCGTCATGTATACAGAAAATCAATAAGTAGAGTATCAATACATTGTATAGAGTTGTACCAACTAGAATTGATAGTATTGATCAGTTTATACAGTAATTCATTGCAGCCAAATTTCAATATACAGTTCATCCTTCATTTCGAAACCAAATTCGGGAACTAAAAATGTGGGATGGTTTTTGGGTTTACTGTAGCCTCTAACTAAAGGGTTACACAGTAGCTTAGGTTCAATGCAGGCCCCTTTTCAGGTCAACACAGGCTTTTAATTGATTATATTAATAGGGCCCACTTGCTTCATGTTTTGCTTGATCTAACCATGTTGATTGTGTGTATTGGATTGACGTTTTAAAAGCGAATTTAAAGCCAAAAGGTTTTTATAAACTGTTCTATTGATTTTCTTGAATACAAAATATACTCATTGCGCCATACAATGGCCAGGTCGTATGACCGTGGCCCGAAGAATCCAACTTCGCTCCCTGTGAGCGATAGATGCTGCTACGCCGTCTGCTAATTGTTAATGGCAGTCTGAACAGATCGTCATTAAAAACAACCTGTTGTGCACGCTGACGACTGTTGGTCCCGGTAAGTATATATTTCTATTGAAGCCAACATCACTAGAAAAACATCCCATGTTAACGTCCTAGAAATAAACATGGACTCACAAAGTCTGAACTTCGCTTTGTTCATCAAAATGCATATTTTGCTGGCATTTCTCTTCATAGAATTACAGAGTCTACCGCTTTTAGCGATGATCTACCGCGCTATCCTAAGAATACGTTTTTCTACCGCATGAAAACAATTCTCCCGTAAATTTTTGAAAATTTAAATATTCAATTTGGAAGATCAGATCTAGCCTAGGCCTAGGTAGAAACATGACTCAGGATGTTAAAAAACTATCGTAAACAATTACAAATAAGTTTTTAATATTCCACTCCTTACCATCACTGTTTATAATGCATTTGCAATTAATCACGGTAGCTGCTAAAAACACGGAATCAAAATTTACATTTTGTTTATTAAAAGTTGATGTGCTCATACTTGCGACGCCTGACCATACCTGCAGTGTGATTTGATAGCATGTCCTTTGACCCGTAGAACTACTACTACTACTACTACTAACTACTACTACTGCGAACTTTTTGCATAAAGTTAATTTTATGGAGCTGTTTCATGAAAACAATCACACAATTATTAATTGATAGTCGAAAATAAAAAGTAAAAATATGGCTTCAGCGAAGAAACGCAAACATTCATGTGCTTTTAATTCACAAGATCAACGATCTTAACTCAGCAAAGTATACCGTTTGAAAGCATGAGTTCCATGTTAGTTTAAATGCTGTATATCAGTGAAGAACGGTGGAATGGCCGATGTTGAAAGATATTTAAAGGTGTGTTGACTTCTTTTTAAACAGTTTTATGTGATTATGATAAAAACTATATGTTCTATATTCGTTTTTGTGACTTGGAAATGGATGGTTGTAGTAGAGGCCTGCGCTCGTCGCTAGCTCACCTTAAGCCTAGCCAGGCCTTAAATTTAACACCTCAAGCCATTTTTTCCTGCACTGCTTTAGGGCCTAGGCTAGGCCTACTGTCCTTAAAATACCTTAGGTCTAGACCTCAGTTAAGGTTTTTGAAGTCAAGCTACGTACACCTAGACAAGTCTATCTATATTTTAACAAGAATAAAATAAATTAGATTAGATTAATAATACATATACATTTTGAGATAATATTTTCGTTATTTTATATGTTTACAGACTTGCTAGACTGCCATGAACTGCATCCAAATTCCGCTCTTCTCTCAGCGGCAAGAAAGTGTACTACAAATACTACTATTGAATACAATATTAAACCATTAAACTAACAGATGCCAGAAAAGAAGTGGCAATTGATGTAATTAATGATATTGATGTAGGCCTGTGTAAATAAATGAATAATGTATAATATAATATTACTAGGCCTACTGTACATGAGTAGTAGATGCCAGAATTTATGTAATTTCATGGTATTAATTTACATTGTGTAAATAAAAATGAAAGCAAGAGCTAGCAATTTAACTGTTTGTTTGATCATTGAACATCAAGTATTTGATATTATGAGTAGTTGCATATTGGCTACGCAACGGGCATTGTATTTGCAGGCGGCCAAATGTTCCCGACAAAATCCCCTGCTAATGGAGTTCTTCAATTTGGGACCCCTGGAATTAATGGATGCAGTATTGATGGTGAAACTGCAAAATTTTAAAGTTGTGCCAATTAAAAGGGACTTCTGTCTTATGATTTTGAGTAACACAGAGCTATTTCTAGTTTCTTTTGTTACAGGTATGTTGTGGCATACAATCTTCGAGTATCATGCTATTTAAGATACAGTATATTGGGCTTCATTTCCAAGGCTAAATTATGCTGCTACTATAGCAGCAAAATTTGTTTTTCATTTGATTATGAAGTGTTCAAAAAAACAAAAAGCATTTCCTATACCAAAGTATACAGAAAATGGCATTTTATACTAGTTCTTACCAATTTAGTTTGCTTCACTGCACATGCAGTGACATAGGCAAGTAAAAATAAGTCAAAATGTCAAGCACTACATATAGTTTTAAAGAGAGGGGCACATTTAAACAGGATCATAAAAAAAAAATGGTTACAGGTGCATGTACTGCACTCTACAGTATATGAGGAGTAAGTAATATATTGGAATAGAATTTTATTGACGCTTCACAACAGTTTCAAGTACAATGTTATGTATGTTGTTATCTACACTCCATCCCGGAATGAATTATTTAAAGCTGTCTCCAACCAAATAATCCCTTAATTAAATAGTGCGCTAAATATATATGCAAACATGGACTCCAACCTGGAAGAAAGCGGTAGAGCACTTAAAGTGCATACTGAACACAGCTAGGCCAACAATTATAAACAGTTGGATTCTGAGTTTTGAATACAAAAATAAACAAGGTTTTGTGATCCTTTAATGTGAGTATGGTACGTACAGTTTGTGTATGAACCATATGTACTGTACAGTAGTGGGATTTAAATAGCACATAATACCAAGCACTGAAAAGAACTGAAAAGAAAAAATATACTGTGGATTCTAACCTATATTCTAACCAGTATGTGTACTGTATTGTACCACCATTTCAGATAACTAAGATACTGATATACAGTATTATTAATACCGTTGTTCCCCGGGTATACAGTAATCCCACCCTCCATGAACGCAAAATTGTGACTGTCATGCGAGTCTCTCCACGCTGTGAATGACTGATCGGTCCACATGGTTGGTCTCTAAATAGTGAAGTAGTATATATTTAACTGCAGTTAGCGGGTTGTTGGTTATTTTTAGTGGCAGTAATACAACAAGAATTTTTAAGGATGAATGATGGGCTTTGTATTCAATCTTACAACGACCAATGTCTGGTCTAATCAATTGGAAGAGTTCCAAGTCTGCCGAATTTGGAGCCAATTCTTCTATTTTAGATTGCCATTTGTAAAATTCACCAACCGACTGCACCCAAATTATACCCTGGGACTTTGCCCGAGGAAATGCTTGTACGTGAAGCATGTTCGGTGGTAGGATTATACCCGCGATGGAGTGGGACTATACCCGGGGATCTACTATACAGTACGGTAATAGTTTGACGATACAAAAGTTTAATATTTATACTGTACTGTACACATTTTATTTAGTCCATAAATACTTCTAACTCTATTTTCCAAAAGGATATTAATGAAAAAATAAAATAGACATGTGGCTATTATTGCATTCATAATTTTCATTGGATGTTACTATGGACTGCAAAAGAATAACATCCAATCAGAATTAGGTACTGGTTTAAGACTGGTGTAACAATAGCCACAGCCAAAAAAGATATTAACTTACCAACGACCCTCGTCCTTCTGTACGAGACTTCACTAATGTAAACCCAAATATATCTCCATTGGAATGAGCCTCAGGATCAACACCTAGGTATGATACATTTATTTGAAGCTCTCCGTCTTTAAAGAAACCAAATGTGGTAACGTCTATTTTAGTTCTATGGTCCTCCTGCAAAAATTATCAATAAATTGCATTGTATTAATTTCCTTATTATTATTAACCACAATCTTGTTCATATTTAAAAAGAAAATATTCTAATATTTGGTTCACTTTTGCAAAAATATACAGGTTGTTTACATCATTACAATACATACTGCAAAAACAACTAAAATACAAATTTTGTGAAGATTCTAAATTTAATTGCCTTTGTAAGTTTTCTTTGCCTTTGTTTATTGACCAAATGAATGGTGCCATATTTAATTATACTGTAGACATTCAAGAAGACACAAACTGTATTTATCAAGTACAGTAAGTGCCTTCAACAAAACATTTTGCTTAAATAAATAATTATATGCCTATTGTAATTCATGACATAAGTTCTAGATACCAACTGAAATTATATTTGATGGTTTACATACTGTATAATTTTGGGCTTGCCATGCTAAAAGTATTAGGGCTTCCAGGACATATAAGCTTTTTTTTTTCCATAAGCTTTTTGATGATATTTGCAAATCATACTTTAAAAAGGCATGGGCCAAGAGATTAGAGATTAAGTCTTGTCGAATGTAATTTTAATTTTAATTTCAATGCTTTTATGTTTTGTTTTGTGACTTTTTCTACATTGTATTGTTTGGCAATTTTAATTACTTGTATGTATTTATTTTCTTTTTATTACTTTAGTTTTGGATGCACCATTATTGTAATGGGTGCCGCTGTTGCAAAAGCGTTTTCTAAATAAATAAATAAATATAGAGTATACAACAGGCCAGCTGCTACATTCTTATGCTAATTACTCAGTTTAAAACATTTAGTGATAGTACGCTAGTTTTGGGATGGCAAGCCTCATTGATAAAAAAAAAAATGTATTTGCTACAGTTGTGAATTTCAAATTATGGATGCACAGCTTTATGTTTTCACATCTGTGTATCCTTAATCCTAACTCCATCTATAGTTTCCATACCTTTTAGTATTTAACTAGCAATAAAACCAGACAACGGGCCAGATGGCAAGAGGTAGACCTGTTTTGTTTCTAGATTTCCTTGAAGTTAAATATTTTATTGTCAATACCTGAGTAAGGGTAATAGGATAGATATTAAGTCTTGTCGAATGTAATTTTAATTTTAATTTCAATGCTTTTATGTTTTGTTTTGTGACTTTTCTACATTGTATTGTTTGGCAATTTTAATTACTTGTATGTATTTATTTTCTTTTTATTACTTTAGTTTTGGATGCACCATTATTGTAATGGGTGCCGCTGTTGCAAAAGCGTTTTCTAAATAAATAAATAAATACAACAGGCCAGCTGTACATTCTTATGCTAATTACTCAGCTTAAAACATTTAGTGACAGTACGCTAGTTTTGGGATGGCAAGCCTCATTGATAAAAAAAAAATGTATTTGCTACAGTTGTGAATTTCAAATATGGATGCGCAGCTTTATGTTTTCACATCTGTGTATCCTTAATAGCTACCTTTATTTTGAAAAGCATAAACAGATATTTTTAGCTTTATTACATTATATCACAGCAGAGATTTGTAAGGCCTGACAGAACTACTGCACTACAGGTCTAGACTAGATGCCAAGATACGGTAGTTACAGTATCATCAGTTTCTTAAACTGTCTGGCAGTGAGGAATTACTGTATTCCATATTTTATTTAAAGTAGCGATGGTGCATCATGCCAAAGTTTAGACTGAATTAGTCACCAAACCAAAGCTGTTATAGCGGGTATAACAACAAAACAAACCGCTTGGTGGCAGTTTTACCACACAATAATAAGCCGCTGCTCGAGTAAATTTCGCCAGTTTTTTGTAACCTCAAACTTTAGTACATTTTATCATAAAATAACTTATCGAAAAGCCTCAACACGCACCTAGCCCTAGACTAGAGAGTCATAAAAACAACGTTCTTGAAACTCATTGGCATTGTAGTAAAAAAAAACATCTTATTGTACAATTCAGCAATTTAAGTTGTCCAATAGTTTAAATATTTCATAGAGAAATTGCAACAAAATGACTTGGTGACAGTATTTAAGCTGAATATGTACCTCTAAATCAACAGTGATCGCCTTAGTCAACGCTGGATGTGGCGAGTCCCACGAGCGATTGGCCTAGGCCCCCTAGAAGGCCTCTCAAAACTCTTCATATTTTTAGTCTGAATGGAAATTTAAATCAAACTAACCATGTCTCATGAATCTATGTGAATCACTCAGAATGTGTATGTTGTTATCTTCTATGTATCTTCTATGCTATACTGTAACTTCATTACATTTTAGACGATTTAATATACACCACTTTCGACTCCACTCTACGCATTAGCATAGCTCTTTGGCCAATGTTTACAAAATCATACCCACTCGGCAAAATCGCATGACACCTTTGCTGACTAATATGGTCTACAGTATTAAATAAGACTTTTTCTCCAATTGTTAAGTCTAAAGAAGTCAAACCCACATGGTGCTGTAGGGAAACACAGTAGTTTCTAAATTTACTTACACTACAGTACATAATTACAGTAAAATCTGAAGTTTACCTGATCAGTTAAATGTGACCATTAGCTGTACTGTACCTTACAGAAGTGCAGCAGGCTCACTTTAAGATGTGACTCGTAGTTGATGAGTCATAAATTAAGATACAATAAAATCCCGCTGATGTAATTAAATAATTTCACTAGTCACTTAACAAACGAGATTTTGCATTCAAGAATAGAAGATTGGATTATAGTCCATTTTTTTTCACAGCCATTTACAGTATTCATGTATATTGCAAGGGAATTGAGGACGTGACTCGTGAGACTTGTGCAGGTGGCATGATTACGAATTATAATTACTCCATCTATAGTTTCCATACCTTTTAGTATTTAACTAGCATACTGTATCATTTCCAATTTAAGTTTGTTATTTTAATATTTGATTTGGATCTTCCGATAAACTCCTCTACTTGTTTAAAATACAGTAAGGCAGCTTCCCCGCTAGTTTGACTAATTTTGCACACAGAATTTTTGTGATGATTAGTATAGGCGCACTCAAACATGACCACTAAAAACCTAATGAATTAACTTACAAAGTTGAACTTAATTAATAATGCGA